CAAAGATCCTGGCCTTTCTACAACCAAAGCTGAGGTTTATGTGTAATGTTTTATGCAACATCCAAGGCAAAATCCAATTATATAACACATTAACCATCACATTCCTGTTTATTTTTTATTTAAATTATAGGCATGCCATATCCAATAGAAAGGTGGGCCCTGGAACTGGAGCAAATCATCTGAAGATGGACGGAGATAGCTGCAGGGTCAGCTCGTGGCCAATTTGAGTCCCAGGCAAACCTCACAAGCAGTTTCTCACTGCTCAGTATCTGAACAAAGAGAAAGCACCTTCTTTGTTTTTTAAAAAAACAACCAAAACACCACCACACAGGATTTTAAGCTTCAGGCTCCATGCTGGAAACCTCACCCTGGATGATTTTTCAGATTAGAAAGACCTGAACAAGTTTTGGTGACAACTTTCAGTTCTTCAGTGAAGCTCAGCCGACCAGCCTCCTAGGGCTGTTGGCACTGACAGAAGAGGGTGCAGCCCCTCTCTGAAGATCTGGGCAAGGTTAATGCTGGGACCTGGAGATTCAAATGCTAAAGCCATGAAACTCCAAAAAGATATGCACTGTGATCTTGAAAAGAATGGCGACCCTCTGCCCGTACAAGAACAGCAGTCTAGACAGCTGAAGTGTTGCTGTGCTGGCAGGAAGAGGAGCGAGCTGAGTCCCACCCCTCTCCAGGCATACCCAAAATGGAGAGGGATTTGTCAAATATACAAGTCTGAGGACTAGGGGGAAGAAATAGTAATCTAGCGAGGTTTCACAGGAGAAAGTAACAGTAACTGCAATGGCAGCATCCCAACGAAAGACCCACCTTGTCTGTGTTGTGGGAGGTGGGCGCCCCACTAACACCACAGGTCAGGCAGATCACTCTCCCACTGGATTAACAAGGACGTTTTATACAGTTTTCCTCCACTGTGATGCCACTCAGTTCGAACAACTTCCTGCACCTAGTCCCATTGCACCAGCACTGCCCTAAGCCAGTGCTTTCCATCAGCAAAGCCGGAAACACATCTGCCGCTGCCAGGATCACCCAACTCACCTCAAACCCCCACCACGCCGAAGCTGACTCCTGCTTCCCCAGCCAGCGGCTCTTGCTCCCTGTGTGTGCATGGCAAGAACTTCGTTCGGCCATTTCCATCTCGGGAGCCTTCACTTTGCCAGAGACATAACAGGGGTAAGCCTGGGGGAAAGGCAAACCCCAGACAAAACTGGAGGATGAAGATCTTGCTCATCACCAGTGCTCTCACACGTGCGCTGAGGCCACACCATTTCTTACACTATATCCCAAAGGTACGACAATACTTCACCTTTTTCCTCTTTAGAAGCTTTATTTACAGCAAAATCCATAAATAGGAGAGGGCCTAAGAGCTCCTTCCCATCAGTGGAATGTCTGAAAGAAGGGGTAAAAAGAAAGAGGCTGGGATTTGGGAGAAGAGGAAGGAGCACAGGTTCTTATAGTTACAGCATCCACACTCAACACCCACACCTGATAATAAATCAGCGGAGCAGAAAGCACTGTAGCTAGCTGCACAGAAACACACTGCTGGGAGAGGTAAGGCAACAACGGCTCCCAACAGGCAGACATTCGCATCAGACGGCGCTTCTCGTTATTTGCTTTGTGTGCGCGCTAGACGTTCCTGTCACTAGCAGCTGGACTGGAGGAGAGTTCATCACCCTCAAGAAGTTAGAGGGCCAACAACCCCTTCAAGTAGGGCTGCTGACATCTCCAGTCCCCTTGACCCTTCAAGTACGGTGCCCCCTCTCAGCGTTCCTTGACACACCTCCGTTCTGAGCGCTAGGTTTTTATTCCAGCACGCAACTTTCCCTGGAGGGAGCTGGTCCCAGGCAACACTGTACCTGCCACACCGTGGATTTACCTATGCTGGAGACCAGTCTGAGCTCCTTGCAACTTCAGGCATCTTCCATGCACCCTGAGGAGCGGGACTAACAAGAAGCACCCAGGTGACTGTTCCACAACCTTTTCTAAGCTCCCTTGCAATGGTGAGGGAGGAAATTGGTGCATGTCTATGATTAAATAAGCATCTCGGGTGAAAACTTTTTGGAGGACTGAGTCTATGATGAAGGGGAAGGAAAACGAGAATTACGAGTCCAGGAACAAGAACACAAACTGCTTAACTCCATGATTAAACACCATCATGGAAGCTGGCAATGGTGTCTTAAGTACAGTTGGAGCAGCCCTGTCAAGACACCACATTTGTAAGGGCGTGTACCCGCCCACACTTGCCTTGCAAGAAGGAAATACAAGTTCTCAAAAGAATTCACGCAATGGCTCTTCACCTTCTGTAGAAGGCAGCACTATACTCCGTGCCGTACTCCAGAGAAACCGTTGCCTCGCTAGATAATCAAAAGAAAAGGAGGCAGGAACCCTTAGGGTCAGCCCAGCACTGTTGACCCCCAAATTACGCTTGAATTGCAAATGCGACACAACTTCTCATTCCAACATGCTCGTGGCTAGGAACTCCCTCCCTTCCCTCAACACACCTTCACGTTACACAGCAGGAGCCTGGTCCGGCCTCTCCAAATCCATCTCTGCCAGGCACCATCCACCACCCATGCTGCTAACCCCGGGTCGCCAGCCTTCCAGTCAAGCACTGCTCTTGGCCAAAGGCGAGGAAGAGCCGCACGAGTCCCTAACGCACACAAAACGGCAGCGCAGCACGCACCCAGACGATCGCGTGGAGGGAGCGGCCACGTGGATGCTCTCCTTTCGGTAAACGCTCCTGTACAGGACTTCGCCTTGCGGAACAGTCCATCAAAAACAACAACCGCAGGAGGAACTCGGAGTTGATTTCAGGCAGGGGAGCGCTGCCCGCCCGGGCCGCAGCAGGCAGTGCTGCTCCCTGCACCCCCAGCAGCGATGGGGGGCCTGCGCAGGGGCCGGCCGGGCCTTTGCTTCGCTGGGGGGGCGTTAGCTCCAACAGCATGCATGTTTTCCCGAGTAACCAGGGCACACCCCACGTTTGCGGCAATGGCAGGCGGTCCA